AAATCCCAGTAAGGGTATGGCTAGCTGATGAGAGCTAAATAGCTTGAAATAGATCTATACTAGTCTCCCTTTATTTATTTATCAGCACAAATGCAGGACACACATATATATATATATTTTAAAGGGACCTTTGCAACACCTTGGCGAATTCATCTTCCTTTTAAAACATCCTTCAGTTGAGGAAATTAAAATTAAAATACTTCTGCTGGTCATTTCTTGCAAATAAAAACGAATTTAAGGTGTACTTTCGTCCCTTGTCTAGGCCGCTCTGGGATCCCTCTGAAAATAATTCGCTTCATAAAAACTGCTTTTTAAAAGTACGAATCGTACTCTGTTTACAAGAGTTTGTTTAGGGGGCCACTCAAAGTTACGACGGCCCTGAGAAAGGGGGACTCGTGGCCAGTTTTTTAACACATACACAAACATTGCCACATCCCCGGGATCAAAGTTCAGATGCTTGGCCACTGGCTCGTATTTACGACGGCTGTAGTGTCCCCTTTTTGCAACCTTCCGACAAGCAACGTTGACGGGGGAAGCCGAATTTGCTTAATGGCCGTCTTACTAACTTTAAGAAGGGCAGCGGATCCCTTCACAACGGTGTCAAGGAAGCTCGTGAAACGGGGCCAAACTCACTGAATGACGCACATTTTGGGCTCAGCGGTGGTTGTAGGTAAACAACTGCAGTGATTCGCTTTACAACGGTGCCAGGAAAGGTGGCGAAACGGGACGAAACTCACTTAATGACGTGATTTTTGGGCTCAGCCGTGGTCGTAAGTTGAGGACTTTCCGCATGTCCTTCGAAACTTTTGGCAGGGGAAAATATCTTTTCGGAGAGGGATGAGCAAATGCACTAGAAGTCGTTTCTGGAGGTTTGATCAGAATAAAAACGAATCCAAGGCTTTTATCTGTCTTTTCCGAGGGAACAATACCGAGTTAGGGTGTGTTTGTGTGTTTGTGTGTTTGTGTGCGTCCTTGTTTTCCTTTTCCTTTTTTTTTTAAATGTTCCTTTCTGTGTGCCAAGCTAAAGATTTATTTCCTTTGGTCTTTTCTTCCACGAAGAGCAGGGGGAAATTTATTCCTTTCTCCACCCTGGTTCCCCACCGCCTCTCCTCATCCTTCCCTACAGTTCAGGAAGGAAGCGGGGCGTGGGAGGGGGTGATACAATTCCTAAATTTTTGCATATGAAACAACAAGCACGCCACACCCCCCACACCCGTTTCCTTCCAGAAGCTCCCAAAGTCAGACGTATAATACAATACAATACAAGAGCGGAGTTGGAAGGGACCTTGGAGGTCTTCTAGTCCAACCCCCTGCCTAGGCAGGAAACCTTATACCGTTTCAGACAAATCCAACATCTTCTTAAAGACTTCCAGTGTTGGAGCAACCACAACTTCTGGAGGCAACTTCTGTTCCACTGATTAATTGTTCTCACTGTCAGGAAATTTCTCCTTCCTTCCTTCCTTCCTTCCTTCCTTC